TGATCACAATAAAGTTTTGAAAATTCGATGAGTATGGATTGACAAGTGACAATTTACTAAATAGCCGGCTGTATAGACACTTATTGCTTGCATGAAATATTTATTTCTTGACTGCATAATTATCCGTTACAAGCATAATCACATTATAAAATTAGTTAAATTTTCTCGGTGGAGGCAGTTGCCCCTGCTGCCCTCTGTGCAGTGTACAGTCCTGTTAGATTTGTATTATGTTTGATTTTAAAATCTTATTTGCTATTATATTTATCATAATAAGTGATGAAAGCAGGGAAGCTTGTAAAAGTTAGTGGGGACGACTCCCACTAGGCACCACCATGGTTGGCGCCGAGCCCCCCCCCTGGCTTCCTACGTCCCTGGATGAAAGTAGATATGGGTTTTTGTTTGGTGGCCCAACCGTAGACATAAAAAATAATTGGCGGCCCATCCAAACTGCCCAAAGATTTTCCATGGCCCATCCCAAATCACTCCGGCCCACCCTATAGCAGTTACTTTATGACCGGTCCCTAATTCCTCCATTTTTTCCAGTAAATGAGTTGCGAAAAACAATTGATACACCTCTGACATAAGCCAACCTTGTAAGAGTTGTCGGCCTTGTCGGATAAACAGTATAAATTTGGATAATAATCGAAGAAATGTGACTTAATTAATAACGAAAATTAATAATTATGTTTTCTTATCGTCCATTCGTTGCTGCAAATCTATATCAAACTTTCCATTTTCACATTGTGCTGAGTTTCTCATTCACTTAAATTCACTTACGAATATTTCTTTAAACATTTTTGGCTTCTTTATTCGAAGAGTCGAAGGCAATAAGGCTTTTGTTCAAAACAATTTTAAGAACATTTTGTCCCAAGTTTTGAACTAAACTTGCGTGGATAGCGCTAAACGGGCTTGATATAACGCGATTTCTGGAGCGTTTAAATTTTATCCGGCAGATAGCGGGTTAAACGGTGATTAGCGAGTTAAACGTCTTTGATACAACCGACCCCTGTCTACAAAGAGATGTGCACACATTAATGGTCGGATTGATCTGGCTCGGAGTAATGATTCACGCAGTCGCTTCATTAGTTACTAGAAAAGACATGCATGCAAAAACCCTCGCCTTGCTGATAAAACTATTATATTTTCCGAACATGAAGTATTTAAAGTAGTTGTAATGGAACACGATAATTTTATTAGGAACATTTTTATAATTAAAAAATTCCCTAAAAAGCCTGCCCGATGTGGATATACGCTCAGAGTAACATCACACAAGCATCTTATTCACCTGAGTACGTTACACCAACACAGCAAATATATATGTTTGGTAAGTTATTATACGTAATATAAGTTTGAATTTAGTACTGTTAAATTCAATCACAAACGCTTCGCAAAACGTTTTAAAATGTTCTTTATAAAACGAAACTTAACCTTTATCGATAAACTTCGAGTTTGAGATGAAATTATTTCAAATTCTCGCAGGTAAATAACTTTGCTTTCATTTTTATTTCAAAAGTTTAATATAATAAAAAAAATAATCAATAAAGATGCACTACAATTATATGCTGTCTTTTTCATAATGTACGCGAAGATCAGCTTTTGAAGCAATTAATATAGGACTTATAGTTATATAAAGCAAACAAGACATCAATATTTAAAACAAACTTACCTTCATTAATTAACGTGGTCGTCTTTGCTGAGTTTGTTCCCTTCCTTTCGCAATTCTTTTGCCCGAGTTTATCCGCCGTATAGCGATTTAAACTGTCTCAAGAGACCGTATAAGTTTACACGGTGGATAGGCAAAATTCAACTGGTGGATAGCCCTAAACGGGCTTGATACAACGCGATTTCTCGAGCGTTTAAATTTTATCCGGCGGATATAGCGAGCTAAACGGTGATTAGGGAGTTAAACGCCTTTGATACAACGGCCCCACACAGTAAAAACAAATTGGTTAAAATGACCAATTTAAATTGGTTGCAACCAATTTAAATTGGTCATTTTAACCAATTAAAGAATAGGTTAGTCTGACATGACCAATTAAATATTGGTCATTTCGACCAATACATAATTGGTTGAATTTTTAACCAATTTAAAATGGTAAATTTAACCAATTTCTTTTGATCAGTCAATGTTGAATTTCCCAAAATAACCAATAAAAATTGGTCATATCCGCAACCAATTTAAAATTGGTCATATGCATAACCAATTTAAATTGGTCATCTCTATAACCAATTTTAAATTGGTCGAATCCATAACCAATTTTTAATTGGTCAAATCCCATAACCAATTGTAAATTGGTCAAATGGGTAACCAATTATTAATTGGTTAATTCCCATAACCAATTGTAAATTGGTCAAATGCATAACCATTTTTTTAATTGGTCAAATCCATAACCAATTCGAAATTGGTCAAATCAGTAACCCATTCTAAATTGGTCAAATCTGATCTGGCAATGTTTTCTGTTATCCAATTCTGTAATTTATTTCTGTAATGCATCCATACCTTTGTTGGCCTTTGTTGTTTTACTCAGTCAAACACTAGATTTTACTCGTAAAGAGGGAAGACCTTTAGTCAATACACCACAGACACAGTGTCAGTGACAGTGGCTAAACTTTGATATTCATTTTATATTTCAATTGTATTTATTTAGTTTACCTGGTCAAAATTTTGCCGTTCGAGTTAATTTTAAATTCTTCATGAGTTCATGGAAACTCTATTTACACAAAATATTTATAGTGTTTGTCGTGTGACATATAAACATGCAAACGAAAATTCTCACGATCGACGAGCGCGGTTTCGCACGGACAGGCTGGGACCTAGTTTTCCTACAACACGCGCAAAGCCTCCCGGGATAGCGTCATCACACTGACGCCGCCATATTTACTCGAAATTTTTATTATTCATTTTGATTTTTTGTTGCCTGTAAAAATGACTATTTGAAGGCAAGACGATGCCTTTTAACGAGGATAAAACATCTGGGATGATTGCCTAGCATACAGGTAAGAATATTGTTATGTTTTCTATATGATAGAGCAATTTTGAAACGAAATGTTTGCAATCTTCATTCGTGAATTTTGAACCATGTGTTTTGGCTTAAAATTTGAATTTGCCGCGACAATATTTGAATTAAAACGATAATATAAATACATTAGTTTTATACAAAAGTTTGCATTTGACTCAGCCCTAGTTATATCGAGTAATATGACAGATAATTTGTAACAATGTTTCTTGTCTAGAATAATATAGCTTTATAATTGGCATCATTCTAAATTTCTACTCAATCCTCATCATGTGCCCACTTAAGCACGTCCCAGCTAAGAGAGAATTTATTGACTTTAATAATATCAACTGCTACTTTCATAAGTTTCAAATGTTTATTCATATATATATATACAGTATAAGTGGGTCGGTTTAGATAAAAATGTCAATTTGATGTGTTATATGGCAACTTGATTTAATATGCAATTTATGCAACGCAATAAATTGTGGTTAATGAAGTAATATGTCAAAGAAGACTCTATTTGCCTTATGGAAATGCCAATCTGTCATCAAAACTACTGCACTTGGAAAACAAGGCATTACTTTCTAATCATGCTGCCAAAAGAGATTGAACCTTGGCAACAGCACGTGAACACGTCATGCACTTGGGTTTAATCAATCAACTCTTCTTAAATATATCCGTCGCAACAATACAATGGCCCCATTCTTAGTGAAAGACATTTAGTTACAGGCTATATGCTTCACGCCTCATTCGCAATATTCTAACCAGAGCGTAAGCTACCAAAACCTGGTATACAAAAAAAAAAAAAAGACAAAGTAAAGAGAACCGTTTTGCTGTTCGATTCCACCAATCTTCGAACAAATGGCAAAAGTAATGCGCAAGATCAGAAGAACAAGGACGGTACAGACTCACAGTTATCCTGAGATGCACAAGATCCCATGCCGGCCATGCATGCGGTGTTCCAGAACCAGAATATTGTCGCAGCTTGTAATCCACGTTCTGGGACCTCAAACGGAGTGAGTTCGTTCCATATTGTTTATTTACTTCCCTAATATAACGTTCTTGAATTTACTGCTGTTAGGCTACATTAGTACTATGTAACGCATTGTAACCATATGTTACTCGATCTGGTCCTGTGTCATGCATGAGTCGCATTTTGTATTGTACAGTATTCGTAGGCTATGCATTCGCGCTTACCCCAGGTTACGTGCTATCTTATATTATCTCTAGTTGCATGTTCTTGCTACGTCGAATAATACCATACAAACAACACGTAATTTAACTGCATATGTAGATCAATAGATGTGGTTGGATACATTATACAACTCTCCATTCATTCGCCTTGCTTGTCTTCGAACTCGTGTCCCACCACTATTCGCTCAGGCGGGAACTATTTTGGCGCATTGACCCAAACAAAACAGTTTCACTCAGTAGCATGACGGGTTTTCCTTGTATGTCATAACAGCTGTATTACAGCCTTCTTGTACTGCTACTTTCTACCCGTACTAATTGTATACACTCTCTGGTATATATAATAGCCCCGGTCCCATGAGGCTATTTTCCTGTGCATAAGTCTTAACACATTTCTAGCTGCTATTGATAGCCTACTTTGTATCAATTTATGCCAGTCGTACGAACATTGTATTATCCTTGTTATATAAAAGGACGGTTTATCCTAGTTATAAGGACGGTTTAACCTAGTTATAAGGATGGTTTATCCTAGTTATAAGGACGTACGGTTTGTCCTAGTTAAATGAGATGTTCATGATATACTTAAATTGACCTCGAAGAAATTATCTCAACTAAAGAGGTTATACTGTAGCAGCTGTAGCACGTTAAATGTTTTCTTTGTGCAGATGTATATTTTGTTACACTAACTGTACAAACAGTGGCTTGCACACGGCTTTATTTTATCTTTCGTTAATTTACCCAAGCGTACACATTATGGCTAGCAGTATTACTTAGGATAACTCGAAAAACTGCATCACATCACGAGCTATTTAATAAGATTAATTAAAGTTATTTTCCATTAATTAATCTCTTGCCTGGAAAAATCCCGCACTTATTGCGTGTCATATAACGAATTTGCGCAATAGTTTACTTTACGCAATATACTACACGTTCCAGTACAATACACATATTGTACACATGCCGTCTACCTGTATGTCATATTCAGTTATCTTCTCACCTAAAAATTAACCACCTAGTTCCACAAAATTCTTACTGTAGAGCACCCGTTTTTCTCTTGCGTCTTTCATTTTGTTTTTAAGGCGAGCAACAAACTGGTGATGTTCACAAGTGCTATCTATACCGACGTTTAACCCTGGATTGCCGCCTCACCGTTTTCAGCTTGCATATGAACTGTAAAACATTCTATACTATGAACTATCTATATGTATTGTAAATGTTCCTGCATAAATTGCGAGGACGAGGTTTATACTGAGGTTTACCTAATTTTATATATAACGCTCAGAAGCTCCGTATAATCCAGTTTAAACAATGGCGAATTCAAAATATAGCCTAACTTGGATACTTGCAGGAAAAATGGTTATAAACACTTTATACTGGCTCAAGAAAAAGCCTCTGTCTAAACTAACAACAGCTAGTTCAAAATGCAAGCCAATTTGAAAACCTGCAGAGGGTATAAACACTACTACAAATATAACCCTTGCCCCGACTCTTTATATTTTGCAGTCTTAGGTATGGTGTTGTTTACCATGATGCTGATTCTTCTTAAACTTGTAAAAATAGAGCTATGTGGGGAGCTGCTGGTGGTCTTGGCCCTACCCAGGTTTCCTGTACTGCAGGTTTTTCCTGGCCTCCCTGATTATCCAGCCTTAGCATAAGTGTCAGCATCCAGTAAACAGCATAGTCTCTAGTACACCTCAGGCCTTTTTGACCTCGTCATCCTCGTCCGTAGACGGGTTATTTTATTTGTGCGCGTGGAGTATTAAAGGATGGACAGCTATCGATGAAATGGGGTACAAACCACCATTACATACGAGGGTCGTTTCCTGTTTCTTTTCTTTACTTTTCTATATTTTTCGGCCAAAACACTATTTAAACACAGCACAAATGTGCCAGAACACATTGAAAACTCGACCAGTTTTTTCCGCAAGAGAGCCAGTAGCACTCGACAAGCCCAAACACACCCTGTAGTGTGCTAACAAACTAATGGGCTCAGAAACTCAAAATTGTTTTACACAGTTTACTTACTACTCCCCATTGTTTCCAGACCCTCCCCCTCTTTTATCCAGTTGCTCCTCCATCATTTACTGCTCATAGGCGAACGCTGCTCTGCATATATTAATAAATATGCATAATGCTTAATTCGACTCGGCTTCCCGTGGCTGAAATAACAATCTGTACTTCGCACAGATCGTCAATTAATGGCAGGGAAGTGCTGTCCTTTTGGACAACACTTCGCCACGTGAAGTGTATTTTTACAGGTCATTCAGGTCGCAGTGCGACCTAATGCCCTGACCTAGAGACTCGATGGGTAAGTCATTTCAGTTGAGTTACCATCAGTTGTTCACCAGTTCAACTAGTACTCAACATCAACGAGCTGACTGACCTGAACGGGGGTTCGCCTGTTCCCCTGTTATCTAGAGGTTCACCTGTTCCTCTATGAAAAACCTACAGTTTTTGCATGCTCTGTCAGGTCTTGAGTACCCATACTGTCTCAGTATACCAATGGTGGTCCCCAGACCATCAGGACTCATATGTCGCTGAACAACATGCACAGAGCCGCGTCACTCCCTCTGCAATCTAGAGGTCCGCCTGTTCCTCTAGGTAAAACGTAGGTTAGCGAGAGCCTCTAGACCGTTCGAGCACTTCCTTGCCCATAATATATGCCACAAAAACCTGTCTGCTGTGTGCTTTTGTTTTCTGGTTTCTTGGGGTTTTTTCAAACTGCGGTTTGGATGCCAGTTATTTCAACATATTAAACTTCATTAAATATGCAATTTATGCAACGCAATAAATTGTGGTTAATGAAGTAATATGTCAAAGAAGACTCTATTTGCCTTATGGAAATGCCAATCTGTCATCAAAACTACTGCACTTGGAAAACAAGGATTACTTTCTAATCATGCTGCCAAAAGAGATTGAACCTTGGCAACAGCACGTGAACACGTCATGCACTTGGGTTTAATCAATCAACTCTTCTTAAATATATCCGTCGCAACAATACAATGGCCCCATTCTTAGTGAAAGACATTTAGTTACAGGCTATATGCTTCACGCCTCATTCGCAATATTCTAACCAGAGCGTAAGCACCAAAACCTGGTATACAAAAAAACCCACCCACCACCCCAGAGCCGAACCTGTCTGCTTATACAATCTATAGATCGACATGCTTTCGATCTATACAATCCAATTCAGTCTAATTGCTTAATCATTTATGTAAATATATAACTTATACATCTGTACCAGAATTGCAGAATGAAATAAATAAATAATGGCAGGGAAGTGCTGTCCTTTTGGACAACACTTCGCCACGTGAAGTGTATTTTTACAGGTCATTCAGGTCGCAGTGCGACCTAATGACCTGACCTAGAGACTCGATGGGGAAGTCATTTCAGTTGAGTTACCATCAGTTGTTCACCAGTTCAACTAGTACTCAACATCAACGAGCTGACTGACCTGAACGGGGGTTCGCCTGTTCCCCTGTTATCTAGAGGTTCACCTGTTCCTCTATGAAAAACCTACAGTTTTTGCATGCTCTGTCAGGTCTTGAGTACCCATACTGTCTCAGTATACCAATGGTGGTCCCCAGACCATCAGGACTCATATGTCGCTGAACAACATGCACAGAGCCGCGTCACTCCCTCTGCAATCTAGAGGTCCGCCTGTTCCTCTAGGTAAAACGTAGGTGAGCGAGAGCCTCTAGACCGTTCGAGCACTTCCTTGCCCATAATATATGCCACAAAAACCTGTCTGCTGTGTGTTTTTGTTTTCTGGTTTCTTGGGGTTTTTTCAAACTGCGGTTTGGATGCCAGTTATTTCAACATATTAAACTTCATTAAATGATTTTTTAAGCTAATGAATTTGAAAGTTATGGCTGGTGTCGTATTCTGAATAATTCTGCAGCGAGAGTCTCGCCGGAATTCTAAACATGTACAGTAGCAACCCGCATATAGGAAAGGAAACACCGTTTTAGATACTCAGAATAAAAAAAATCATCCCGTGTAATTCATATTTGAAAATGGCAGATTGCATGAATGCTGTAAATTACTAACTTCTTATTAACCGAACGCGAGGTCTGTACAGTGAGATATTGGACCGAAGTCTTTTTTGTACAGCCCGTGCCCGTATATAAGGCGAGGTTTGTACAAAAAGACCGATGTCCGATATTTCTCTGTACATACCGAGCAAGCGAGGTTAAAAAAAGTTTATTATATGTCATTTATAGGCATTTATATACCTGAAACAAACAAGAAATGCATGATTTGAATTTGCGTGGTACACATTTGGTTGAAGAAAACAAAAAAATACCAATGTATTCCTTCCTTTCCACTAAAAACCATTCGCAGATATCTTATTAATAACAAATTAAATTATAATTTTCAATTAGTTTTGCTGTTTTGTTTCAAAATGCATGCGTTTGTTTTAATGGCCGCTGAAAGTGCTTCCCAGCCAATCACAGTCCGCCATTTCACCGGAAGTGATGCTTGCCACATAGTAAAAGTGGAATAATCACACAGGCATGTCAATCATGTGAGCTAAATAATTTTCATGTGCTAGTTGTACAGTATGTATGTGGCAGCAATGCAGTTATTTCATATACCTAGTTAGGAAGATGCACGATAATTGTTGCAGGCACAAAAGTTAATTACGGTATTATTAAAATTGTAGTTTAAGTAATCTTTCTCATTACCACTTAGCTATAGCTTAGATAATGTGATTCTTGTATACTATTTTCAATCAATTTGGGCTTCCCAGTGGCATTACTGGCATTTTTATAGCGATACATATTACATAATATGGTTAACCGAAACCTATAGGTTATAGAAATTTACTCAAATACTGCACGATACGATTTAAAACGTATGACTAAGTTTACCAAGTTTACTGCTGTTTTTATTATATGAAAATATAGTCTCGCAAATCACGCAGGACATGCAAAACTCTCCTTTCAAGATTGGCAAAAAATGTTGTTACATTCACACTCATGCATTCATTCATTACTCTTCTTCTCTTTAAAGACTTAAAGAAAATGACAGAAATGCAGCGAGGAAAGGTGAATGTGTAGAAACGACGTCCAAAGAATCTACTTCCTATTCTCACCCTGGAAACCCCAACATCAAGTTTTCGATACTACCCAGTATTGATCAGGCAACGTTTCCTGCTTTCCAATCCTCTCTCGACTATGCTGAAATTGAAAAATTTGACGCATTCCTTATTTTCACTGCTGGAAAGTTCACTAAAAGGCATTTGGAGTTTTCAAAAATAATTAAGTCCAGTAACAAGCCACTCTTTTTCATTCGAACCAAGATCGATAACGACAACCATCCAGAAAAACGGAAGGAAAGAGAGATCAAAGTGAGACTTGCCAAAAATTTGAAAGAGCTTCATTGTCGTGAATATGAAATCTATCTTATAAGTAATAATCACCCAAACAAATGGGATTTTTACAAACTCGCGAAAGCAATCGCAGATTCTTTGCCTTCTCCTCAAAAAGAATTTTTTAACAAGATTCCGAAGATTCAAGAGTTACTTGCTTTCAAGAAATTTCAGAATTTTCTTAAAGGTACCGTGAAGAACGTTATTAGGCATTAATGCAAATATACCCAGTGTTTTTACGTGCAGTAACAAACATAATTTGTTGCTGGAATATTTTTCATAGCGTACATGCATGAATCTAGAATTAAAAATATTTTATATATTTCTCAAATTGAACCGAGAACGTATTTCTCAATCTGAACCGAGAACGTATTTTCACCATTTTCTCTAGTAAGAATATTTGAACTAACATTCGCATTGTGCCCCCTACTCCGTCACCTTACTTTGTCTAGAGCATAGAGATTATAAATAACACTGGAGGAGGCGTCGCAATCTTGAGATCAGGCAAAAAAGGAATGCGGTTATTGGGGCAAATTCAAGTCCCAGATGTGTACTCGTGTTTCCATTGGTAAGGAGTTTCAATTTAGCAAATGAGAGCATGATTTTATATCCGGGACCTAAATTTGCCCCCCATTAGCCGCGTTCCCAAACTTTAACCTCGATGCCTTCTCTAGTGTTATTTATAATCTCTATCTATGGTCTAAAGGCTGTTTTCCACTATAGGCGGAATTTTCCGCGCGGTGCGGAATTTTTTTTGCTTTGTAATTTCTCGGGTGGAACTAATCAGAAAAGACAAAGAGAAATTCCGCTCCGCAAGGAAAATTCCGCGCAGTCGAAAACGGCCTTAACGCCAGACGATTTTATTCATCAAGGGGAGCGCACAGACGCTCAATGGATTTATTAAGATATACCGGGTGTCCCAAAAAAAAGTACTCCCGTTTGATTTATAATAACTTCTAAACAAGTAAATCTATCAAACACAAATAACTTGCATTAAATAGAGGAAGGACTAACTTAGATTTTGATATGTTACAGTTTTATTTTACCTAAAAATTCACGGAGATATTAATGTTCAAAATCGGGAGCATATTTTGGGATGTGTCTAAAATTAGCAAAAATCGGCATATCAATTATTAACTCTAGCGTTTGTTTGTTTAATGACATATCAGGCTAACTTGTATTTCAGCGAATTGTCGTTAGGGTTTGTAAGGGATATGGCGTAGATTTAGACATCTTACATGTAAGTCTTAACTCATTGTTTCCTGAAATATGAACGTTCGAAATTATGCAAGTATTTAATATAGGTCTTTGCAAACTTAAAGGTACATGAAAGAAGATGCAAGGCAGGAGCTTAAATTTTTCTTAAATAGCCTAATTTTTTTACGTTTTTAATGGGTTCAAAACAAAGTTGATTATTTCTCGGTTAGAGCAGGATGAATATTATTCTTTAATGAAGGAAATAATATTGCTTTTTGAAAATACACATCACAGTATCAACGCTAGCGCTAGTTTTGTTACGTTTTGTTCCAAAAATGTTGGATGTCTCTGGGGAGTTGATTGTTATGTCTTTACTTATGGAGTTGTTTGCATAGTTTGATTGTGTTTCATTCTCAGTTTATTTTGAACTTGCCAAGATTAAGAAAGGCAAAAGAGTTTGGGTGTTGTTAACAAGATTTCAGAACGTTGCAGAAGTTATAAAGTTCATTCAATGTGAAGTTATAAAATTCACAATTCCATTGTGACAGCATACCCTAATTCAGAACTACGAACGATCGATGACGATCCTTCACAATGCAGTGGTCTCATGAAATAAGGAAACGTATTCGTACTAGGAACACACGCGGATTTCGGACGAATAAATCTTGCTTGTATTTTGTAGATTATAATACTTCGTTTCATAACAAACAATTTGTGAAGTGTCATTTATTTACTGGTAATAGTGCATGTTTCAGTCGGGCAAAATCTTGATTAATATTTGATACGCCGTTTTTTGCATATTTCAGACACATCCAGAAATATGCTCCCGAATTTAAACATTGATATCTCCATGAATTTTTAAGTGAAATACAACTGCAATATATCAAAATCTAAGTTAGTCCTTCCTCTATTTGACGCAAGTTATTTCTCGTTAAAAGCTTTACTTGTTTAGAAGTTATTACGAATCAAACCGGAGTACTTTTTTTTGGGACACCCGGTATATTCTTAATTTGAGGATATTTATTAGTAACTAAGCGAAAAAGACATTTTCAACAAAAAAATGATTGAAAATATCATGTTTTGTTTTCTATCTTATATGATGTATGTATCAAATTCACACTCAACAGCCTAGACCATAAAATAAATTAATTCCATTGCGCGCACCGTATACATAAAATGCTATACATACTTGGTTAATTATGTAGAGACAGAAGCACCAGAAAAACTCTTTCACGTCGATGAAATAAAACGTGTATTTTTGGAAAGTGGAATTGTGGGACTAGTGGGATTACAGCGCATGATGTGCCAAATGAAAGAAGTTAAAATAAACCTCGCCGTACTTGGAAATTCTGGTGTTGGCAAGTCAACCTTTATTAATGCTGTGAGAGGGTAAGATTGTTATTTTTTACGGTCCCTAATTTTAGGTGCGTAACGTATTATGAGGTCCCTATTACACCATACGCAAGTGGAAGCAGGGTGTTAGGCAGGATTTCAAAAGTGGCCGTACAAAATAATTTTGTGGGCGTGGTCACATGTTTTTGGGCGTAGCCGCAATTTTTTGTTGTTGTGGAATTGTGGTGTTCTATTCGTTGAACCTTTTTACTTTTAGTTTTAGATGCACATTTAAGTTATTAAATTTGTAAAAGCACACGTATGGTATGAACCGTATGATCACTGCGATGTACATACAGTATATGCTATAATGAAAAACAATACAACAGTGTAGTGTTTAGTTATTTTTTTATCAATCGCCGATATTTTTCCCTTTTTTATGCGTTTGGCTCATTTTATAGCCATCTTTACCCTAACTGTAACCATAAAGGACGTGGCGCTCGAGCGATAAAGCGATTGCTGTTTTTTGAAACAGCGGTTTCAAATTATTTTCCTTGATACTTCATGCGAGAATCATCAACATGGTTACAAAAACATGGCGCATTTGTCGGTACTTCAATTCAGCCATATTCAACGTGTTTTTGAGGGGAAAAAGTATGAAAGTGAAGTAAACCATAAGTAAAGTAAACAGCAGATGACAACAATTCGAAGTATTCAAGAAATATTACAAAGCTTGTAAATTGCTATTTAAAGAAAATATTTCCTTAGGCCGTCCATGGCCGCCATTAAAATTTAGCCGTCCGAATTCAGAAGTGGCGGTCCGTAGTACGGTCAGACGGCCGCCTGGCTAACACCCTGAGTTGAAGAAAAGGTGCAACTTATTTTTACAACGGCAAGTTGGACATGAAAATTAGTTGCCCTGAATACAATTCACTTGCCATCAGACAATGGCCACTGGGGTACCTAGGTAGGGGGTATAAATTAATGGGACAACGTGTCGACCCGTTCTCCCACTGCTCTATATGGCTATGTTATTTATTTATTTATTTATTTATTAACTTTGCCGGCATAAAATTACAATAACAAAACAGAGTGGCCGGGTCACCGCGCAACAGCTTATTGCCAATTACTGCGGGCCAATTAGTTACAATCAAACAAACAACAGACATTCAACTGGACAGACTAACAAACCTACGAACAAACAATATTAGTTTCTAAAAGCAGCAGGATATCGGATATGTAAGTCTTCGTACAGAGTTACATTTCGGGCATATAGTTTTAAATGTTCGAGGATTATCAGGATTATAATTAACTTCTAAAGATTTGTGATAGTATTCCAGTAAGGCTGATCTAAAGGAATTGAAGCAGTTCGTGTCAGAGTGTTCCATATTCGACACGTTCTGACAAAAAACGACTGCTGGTAGGTACTGGTTTTACATTTGCGGACAAGATATTTAGCGTTATTACTTCATGACGATCGTGTCGTTCTTTGCATAACACGAATGTCAGGAAGAGCAATTATACTGCGTCTGATCTACAATCCTGAACAAAACCATCTGTGACACTCTATTAAATAATTCCTTTGTGGCTTTTTTTTACCAATTAGACCGGAATAATTTACTCGTTTGCCCCCCTCCACCCCCCAAAACAATGTTGGACGTTTTAACCGTATTCTACCACAGTGATTCTACGAATGCAGTCAACATTGATTGGTGGGGGTAAAGCGGAGGTTTTCTAAATTTGCGACAATATTACTTTGGTCCACAAAAAAACAAAATTTGGATCAAGTACATGCACTATAAAAAAATTATTCGACAATGAAACACAAACTTAAAGATGCCATATTATTATTATTTTCTTACACGTAAGAACCTTAGCAGATGGGGATTGTCTTCAAGTTCAGAATGCTCCTTTTGTCTTAGTCCGTATTCCCAAGCCGATTATCGTTCAGTTTCGTTGGACACCTTCGGAGACTACGCCAAAAACTCAGAATATATAAATTTTTACTCACCTTTGACATTTCTTCTTGTTGGCACTGCTAGAAACCTGCAGTTTTTTAGAAATTTGCATTTGAATTTCAACAATTGGCACTCCTCAAAATTCGAAATCCGCCATTTTGTTTCCGAGGAACTTTATGTAAAATATGTTGAAGTGACTAGTCTCAGGCTCTTTCCAGGGGGGAGAACTACACGCGCAAGGGCAATTGAGCGCGATTTATTCACAATAAACTCGAAAACATCGGACAAAAATTGACGTTGACGGTTGGTATTTCACACGAACTGATTTAAACATATTAATACAACTAAAATACAACTTGAGGTGTCTCCCTTCAATTTAAAAATAGGAGGAAATCATAAATTAGATCAAACTTTTTGAAGGAATATTACTTGACAGAAGTAAAAAGTTGTGCAACTTTTATAAAGCAACAGTCAAAGAATTTGAAATTGGTCACAAGAGTGACGTCATCGCTGTTGCTTTGGCAACAATGACGATTCAAGATATTAAAAAAAATATTAAAATAAAAATATTATGTCTTAAATATTCTGAAGAGCCAAAAAAAAATATTTCGAAAAACCATGTTTATAATTATTTTAAATTTAGCTCAACAGATTTGTTTTTAAAATTGGTCAAATATTTCGTCGTACTACAAGAAAATGTTTCCTGAAATAAAAAATGGGGGGTAACCATGCGTATGTTTTAGTGAAGTGTTATTTTTGATTTCTAGCAAATAACATCTCTTCAAAGAGTTGATCTAATTTGTGCATTTTTAACATTTCTATAAAATGTAGGGAGCCACTTTAAATATCATCATCCATATCCAAATCGAGCTCTTCCTCTTCTTCCATCTCTTTGTCTGACTGTTCGTCATCAATCGCTGCATTCATACACCCAGCACAAGTACATACATCTGTACATTGGATCATGGCTTTCTTGCACGAACAACGGTGAGTTTCGCAATCAGTCTTGCAACCACAATGGATGAATTCAAGTATCGAGTCTGGTGCCGGAGGATGGGTCAACCACACGATCTTCAACACTTCGTCGACTATCCGCCATCCATGACAACCAGGAGGGATATCCATTTCTGCGTCAAGACACTGGCGCCAAATAGCTGGTTGATAGTTTGCCCGACGTATGTGTTGCAGCAAGCTTTCACATGTTGGCGGTAGCATGTCATCAGAACACTTTCCCAATTTGAACAATGCAAACCTACATTTGTTGACATTCTCGGATGTTTTGTAGCCATACATCAAGCAAACAAACCTTATTCAGCTGCACAACGAGATCATCCGAAGGAGAAAAAGTACTCCCAAGTGATACGAATGCATCCACGTATCCACGATTGCGCTCGAGCGTGTCCCACGTCGTTTTCTTACCTTTCCGATAAAAGGAACTGGTGCTGTCACAACCTAAAAAATATATTATACAATGTTATTGTAAGAAACTGATATATAAGAAACTACAGCCGTATATTCGCGATCCTACAAGTCAGTGGCGGAAATCTTGGTGGGGCGGGTGGGCGTCCGCCCCCCCCCCCCCTCACGGAAAATTGACGAATTTTCGGAAATTTTGACCTAAAAGAGGGCTAAAAACAGTCTTTTCGAGTGCAAATGGGGGGTACGTCGGAAATTTGAAAGTTTTGTCGGAAATTTAGGAGGCTTTGCCCCCCACGGGATAAAGTGAATTTCCGCCACTGCTACAAGTAACTGAACAGGCTAATAAAAAAGTCAGTTCCTTGTATATCTACTCTACCTGAAAAAGCGTGAAATCCAGGCAAACACTGAGAAAGGTTTTCGTCCATCGCCTCCACGATAGTCTTGATGGATATCAACAGAAAATGATTTCCCGTTCCCGTCATAACAATACTGATTGAGGTTTTAATTGCACGCTAATGAAGCGTGAGATTGTCCCCATGGGCACTAAATATTAGAATATTCACAACTGATCTTTATGGGCATTTACACTGTTTACAACTGCTCATATTTTAATTAGTACTTATTAACACCAATTAACAATTGGTGGAAATATAAAAGAACAGGAGAGAAAAAAATCTTTGTTCCTAATACGTTTACTACGCTTCCAACGCACAATGATTACTAATACCACCAATGCGCGGCCAACCTCTTATCACATACTCGCCCGGCCCCCTTTTGGTCACATGATGTGCCGACGTAACGAGGCTTGGTTCCCTAGCTGTTAACCTTTGTTATTGCATAACCTCATGAAACCTGTATAGTGGTTAAACACTTGTATAGTGTTAATTATATACCTGTATAGTAGGCTTATATTCAGGGGGGCTTGTATTCGGGGGGGGGGGTTATATTGGGAATGGTGTGAACCTTAGTAATGTGATGATGGGCTTATAGACAGGGTGCTTATATTCGGGGGGAGGGCTTATATTTGGAATGATGTGAACGTTAGTAATGTGATGGGCTTATATGTTATAATTGGTGGGAGGGGGGGCTTATATACGGTGGGGGGCTTATATTCGGGGGACTTATAATCGGAGGTTTACGGTATTTAAATCACCGGCCATATGAAGGTTGAAAGTTATAAATTAGCAGAAATTGACATATTGAATTAGCAGAATTGATAATACACGGACGAAATAAAAGCAAAAAAGGATGGACTTACCAAATCGGTGTAATTCTTCTGGCAAACTATACAGACAGCAGGTAACACGTGCTCGTTCCTTGATCTGGTAGCACTAGTGGATCGGACGCCGCTAAAGTTGATCGGAAAACTTTCTTCGGGATAGGATCACTACTGCCTTGGTCAACCGATGCCGATGGGATTTGATCTCTTTTTCAGCTTTTTTGCGTCTTGCTTCAGCACGATTTAATAGGGTTTTATTGGTAAATGCTGCATGAATAGCATTTGCGATGAAAGCCAACTCTTTAAAATTTTCATAGCGATCTTCTTCCTCGATGCTTATAATTTGAGTTGTACGTAATGCTATGTCTTTCTGACGGCCGTCAAGTTGTATCCATTGCTTCCGGCATTCCAGAAATCTTTCGAATGAAACCTCTGTAAAATTTGTAAGTGGCCCGACACTGTCTTCGCAATGAATTAAACATGTATTTCCTAATTCTACCATGTTCAGTCGGCCATGACGAAAACATCTTTGTTAAGAGGAGTTTTTTTTGTATGTTACGTAACACGCGCTCAAAATTAATGCGTACAATATACCACTTGAGGTTATGACAAAACTCTAAATCTTTATTTTTCAATACGTTTCTCAATCGGCAAACAAACTTAAGAAGTGTGTTTAGTGCTTTATCTGTAACATAATGCTAAAATGAAGAGATTTTAGATCGGATACGCCGAGGAGAAAATTATGTCTGAAGTTCAGTAAGTTTTGCAGTTATATGGCTGTGAATATGGCGTCAATTTTAAAGCATCATTGATAATTGTATTTTAATTGACAATTTTTAACTATTATTTTATGTTTCTCAACCGACACATGCATTTCAAAAGGTTGCTAACTCTATAAACTAGAGAATACAGCTAAAACAAAGTAAGATTTTAGGTTTTGAACACTTTTCATTGCAAATACGTGACATTGAAAAAAATTGCCTCTTAATATTATTACATAAAGTTTCCAATAGTGAGCACCTTTTCAATGCATCTTACATCAAGTTTCCAAGGAAACAAAATGGCGGGTTTCGAATTTCGAGGAGCGCCAATTGTTGAAATTCAAACGCAAATTTATGAAAAACTGCAGGTTTATAGAAGTGCCAACAAGCAGAATTTTGAAAGGTGCGTAAGAATCTATATATTCTGTGATTTTGACGTAGTCTCCGAATGTGTCCAACGAAAATTGTTTTCTAAGCGACTTTTTGGCCTTGGGAATACGGACTATCTCGGCCCAGAATCATTATTGCACGTGGTCGCTGGATGTCAGTGTTATCTCGATCGATTTACGTGGAGGCACAATTCAATCCTGAACTTTCTTGCCAATACCTTGCAAACTGTGAACGGTTCTTCCCTCTACGCTGATGTGCCCGGATTCAAAAGTCCGTCAATAATAACTGGCGATACGTATCGCCCGGATTTGTTGCTATCATTATCAAATGGCTCTCTGTATGTGGTCGAGCTTACTGTTGGCTATGAGGCAAACCTCGAGAACAACGTTAAACGGAAAAAAAGCCAAATATAGAGAACTAGTAAGACAGCTAGATGAAAATTTTAAACTTTGTTAATCTTTCCATGAGCTCTCTAGGTATTTTTGCGCAAGAATGCTCTACATTCTTAGAAATATTAGGAAATGTTGGTCTCGACAAAAACTACCAAACGTACTGTGTTAGGAAAATGATGACTATTGCCATTCGAAGTACTTATTACATTTTCTGCTGTCGAAATACGGAATGGGAAAGTCCGGACTTGTTAACTATTTGAAATATTTGATTGTTTTGTATATTTGTGGCAGGTTACGAGTCCAGGACCTTCCTCAGGATCCTTGCTGTTCCAAGCAGTCCGATCTTTTGAAGATCCCCTGCGTTACTGCCTATTTTCAGCTTGTCCAAGTTATTTTGTACATTGTTGGTCATCGTTTCCAAGGCGCCTATGATGACTGGCAGTATAAATACCTTGGTCACTTCTCCTTTCCATACCTTTAGTAACTCATATTTAAGGTCTGTGTATTTATTATTATTATTATTATTATTATTATTATTATTATTATTATTATTATTATTATTACAAAACAAACAAACAGAATCGTTTCCAACATTTGGTCTTGCCCAATGTACAGCTTACTTTACTAAGACACTTTCCACAGTTATTCCAAATAAAACATTCAACATTCCTAGCTGGATTCCCAAGTTTAATTCCCCAACAACACCATTTAATCTTGACCCTCCGACCTATAATGAGATTACAAATGTCATTCGAAAGATGAAACCGTCTGGCTCACCCTGCCCTCTCGACCAAATATCTGTTATTAGTCCGTATTCCCTGGTCGATTATCGTTCAGCAATTGAATTCACCAAACGCAACTAGTTTTCAATATCAAAAATATGTAGATTTTTACTCACCAAGCGCATTTCTGTTTGTTTACCTTCCAACACGTCCCAGTTTTTTAGCTACATGCGTCTGAATTTCGACAACGATGAGTCTTTAAAAAATTTGAAAGACGCCATTTTTTCCGACATTTCCATGGATACTTCATGTAACATATATTAAACAAACTCGTTTCAGGCCCTTCCCATCAATTTTGCGCAATTTAGTTGAAAAAGGGCTAGCTGTTTCATTACAATTTACTACCTCTTTAATTAATGTGCAGATGCGAAAATATAAGAAACAAAAGTATTTATAGGAATATGTATATATATACTTTGCTAGATTATATACTTTGCTAGATTATAATTATGAATGAATCCAGTATTCAGTGAAGACCATAATTTCTGTATTAAGCCTCCCCGCTGGGGCTTATTTCTATCCAATCATTTGTCTGGAATTGGAGCTGCTCCAAATACCGTTTGATAAACTTTAACAAAAAATACTCACTACGGTTACATGTTTACATGAGTAAAGTATGCAGATTCGCATTATTCAGGCAGGAAAAGTGCTCTGATGATCAACTACCGCCAACGTGCGACAGTTTGCAGCAACACATACGGCGTGAAAACTATCAAGCAGCTATTTGGCTCCAATCACTTGACGCAGAAATGGCTATTCTTCCAATTGATGAAAATGGGTGGAGTTTATGTGATGGGGAGTTACATATCGTGTGGATGACCACTCCTCCTGCGCCAGATTCGCTGCTTGAGTGCATCAACTGTGGTTGCAAGACTGGTTGCAAAACCCAACGTTGTTCATGCATGAAAGTTGCGTTACAGAGGTAGAGTATGATATCGGGGACTGGCTAAACAGAGAGTTATGAAATGGAGAGTTATCTCGGAGAGTTAAGATTTCGGCGAGTTATGTTCGAACCACGCCCAAACCACGCCCACTTTTCCCAACGACCACACCCATTTTCTTAACTCTCTCGACGTTTCCTTGAACTAACATGAGAGAGTTATGTTTGACGTAACTCTTTCTCATGATTGTGGCAATGAAGAGAGTTATGTCAGTTTTTTGGAAAAAACTTTACATATTAGTAAATTTTTGTAAATTTACTTTTTTCTTTAGTACTTACCAAGTTCATCTATATGTAAATGTTTATATACATGCTCACTTGGATTATCTAGCAAGACCAGCATTCAGATACAGCCCTCGTATTAGATAGAACCAGAAAACCTTTCCAATGTAATGCCCTATTGGCTGATCTGAGAAAGTATTTCCAAAACCTGGATTGCTGAAAGATTCAATTTTCTTAATTTTCTTGCAACTATGCTTACCGTATTTACTGCCAAATACACGTCAAATCGTGCTTCTGGGGGTACCTTTGACCCTTCTGATGCAAGCATCTCATTGTTTTGACCGACTCAAGTTATATTTCCTGTTTGGACACACGCTATTGACACGCTACAAAGTGAAATACCAAAGTATAAGATGAAAACCTGAAGAAACAAGCTTTACTAAGGTTTTCTCAAAAAACTGACTTAATTCTATTCATTGCCGTAATCCTGAACGCGGAGAGTTATAAAATTGATAATTTATTTATTCAACTTCGCCAGGTAAAATTACACGAATGACATGCATACAACACAAATACAAAATGATACAAGTGACAAATGGCGGGGACACCACAACAGTTAAAACCAATTACTGCGGGCCCTTTTAACATATAGGTTACATACAGATATCTAGAAACAACAGTTGATTTCAAAGGTACCCCAAGAAGCATGATTTGACGTGTATTTGGCAGTAAATACGGTAAGCATAGTTGCAAGAAAATTAAGAAAATTGAATCTTTCACCAATCCAGGTTTTGGAAATACTTTCCCAGATCAGCCAATAGGGCATTACATTGGAAAGGTTTTCTGGTTCTATCTAATACGAGAGCTGTATCTGAATGCTGGTCTTGCTATATAATCCAAGTGAGCATGTATATAAACATTTACATATACATGAACTTGGTAAGTACTAAAGAAAAAAGTAAATTTAAAAAAATTTACTAATATGTGAAAGTTTTTTTCAAAAAACTAACATAACTCTCTTCATTGCCACAATCATGAGAGAGTTACGTCAAACATAACTCTCTCATGTTAGTTCAAGGAAACGTCGAGAGAGTTAAGAAAATGGGTATGGTCGTTTGGAAAAGTGGGCGTGGTTCGAACATAACTCTCCGAAATCTTAACTCTCCGAGATAACTCTCGACTTCATAACTCTCTGTTTAGCCAGTCCCCAATATCATACTCTACCTCTGACAGTTCGTCACTATCTTTTCCATTGGTGCAGCCCACACAAGTGCATACATCTGTACATTGTAACGCAACATTCATGCATGAACAACGTTGGGTTTTGCAACCAGTCTTGCAACCACAGTTGATGCACTCAAGCAGCGAATCTGGCGCAGGAGGAGTGGTCATCCACACGATATGTAACTCCCCATCATATAAACTCCACCCATTTTCATCAATTGGAGGAATAGCCATTTCTGCGTCAAGTGATTGGAGCCAAATAGCTGCTTGATAGTTTGCACGGCGTATGTGTTGCCGCAAACTGTCGCACGTTGGCGGTAGTTGATCATCAGAGCACTTTTCCTGCTTGAATAACGCGAATCTGCATACTTTACTCATGTAAACATGTAACCGTAGTGAGTATTTTTTGTTAAAGTTTATCAAACGGTATTTGGAGCAGCTCCAATTCCAGACAAATGATGATTGGATAGAAATAAGCCCCAGCGGGGAGGCTTAATACAGAAATCATGGTCTTCACTGAATACTGGGTTCATTCATAATTATAATCTAGCAAAGTATATAATCTAGCAAAGTATATATATATATTCCTAGAAATACTTTTGTTTCTTATATTTTCGCATATGCACATTAATTAAAGAGGCAGTAAATTGTAATGAAACAGCTAGCCCCTTTTCAACTAAATTGCGCAAAATTGATGGGAAGGGCCTGAAACGAGTTTGTTTAATATATGTTACATGAAGTATCCATGGAAATGTCGGCAAAAATGGCGTCTTTCGAATTTTTTAAAGACTCGTCGTTGTCGAAATTCAAACGCATGTAGCTAAAAAACTGGGACGTGTTGGAAGTGTAAACAAACAGAAATGTGCTTGGTGAGTAAAAATCTACATATTTTTGGCATTGAAAACTAGTTGCGTTGGGTGAATTCAATTCATCGTTTCTAAGCGACTTTCGGTGCCAGGGAATACGGACTATATCTGTCTTAAACGCTGCCCATATCTACGTACTTATTTAACTGAAATTATCCATGTTGCCTGGTCATCTGGTATTGTTCCATCAGAATGGAAAAAAGCGTGCACGATATTGATTCACAAAAAAGACGAAACTGACAATCCCGCTAACTTCAGACCATGCAGCCATGCTCTTGTTCACTTGATTAACAATATAGCATCAGCAATTGACCACAATGAAGCCACTGCTGGAGTGTTCTTAGACTTATCTAAAGCATTTGATACTTTAAATCATGAAATTTTATTTTCTAAACTTGAGCATTATGGCATTCGGGGACTGGCACTAAAATGGATAAAAAGTTGCTTTATTCACCGCAAACAATTTGTACAATATACCAATGTTTCCTCATCTCTACAAACTATCAAATGTGGTGTGCCGCAAGGTTCCATATTAGGACCGTTATTTTTTATCTTTTATATTAATGATCTGCCCAATGTTTCAGATATAATTGAAACTATTTTGTTTGCAGATGATACCAGTCTTTTTTATTCTCATTCCAACATTCAACAATTGAATGATACTTTAAACAATGAATTGTCGAAATTTGACTGTTGGATGAAGGCGAACAAACTCTCTGTTAATATAAAGAAAACCAATTACGTGGTTTTCAAATCAAAACAGAAAAGAATCAATACTGATCTGTCACTTTCCTTTAATGGTCAAGCACTTAAAAAAGTACATGTCGTTAAATTCTTAGGAGTATTTATTGATGAAAATTTATCATGGACAGAACATATTACTTATATTTGTAAAAAGATCTCTAAATCAGTGGGAATAATTTACCGATCTCGCTTTTGTTTGTCGACCAATACAAAGTTAATGTTGTATTATACTATAATCTATCCCTATCTAACTTATTGTAATATTGCCTGGGGTTCTACCTATTCCACTAACTTGAATAAGCTACTTCTGATGCAAAAACGCGCTGTGCGGGCAATTACAAACGCATGTTATCGTGCACATACAAAACCGCTCTTTTCGCAGTTAAAATTACTGGATATTTACCAAAAAATACATTTTATACCGCTAAATTCATGTTTCTATATCATAACCATTTATTACCATCTTTATTTCACATGATATTTACTACAGGTAGTCAAATGCATATATATAACGCAAGACATGCGGCTGATTGTCGAACTCACGCTTGCAGAACAAATATTAAACAGTTCACTATTCTATTTCAAGGACCAAAACTGTGGAATTCATTACCAAAAAATATTATTAACCAAGTTACTCCTCGTTGTTTCAGGAACAGAATGCTAGAGCATCTATTATATTAATTATCTCAGCTACTAAGTTAAGCACATCTATATTTCAGTCCTATATCCAATAATCCAATAATAATATTACTTATTATATAATCTTCTTGCATCAAGAGGTGGCCTCCCTTGTACAAGCCTGGTGGTTTCTGGAGGTCTCCTCACCATCCGATACAATTAATTATAGTTCCTTCCTTCTTGTACCTATTTTTTCTTGTTTCTAATTGTATGTATATATATATATATATATATATATATATATATATATATATATATATATATATATATATATATATATATATATATATATATATATATATATGGCAAATAAATATTGTTATTATTACTCTAGAATCTGTTCCGCTCAAAGTTTTTACGTCGTGTCTTCGTAACAAAATTTTCGCTTTCCTATCTGAAAACAATTACATAGAACATGACTTCCAGAAAGGTTTTACTCCAAACGTTGCAGGAACTGTTGAACATACAGCCCATATGGCGCACATAATCAACACAGCCCGTATAAAACAAAGGTCACTTGTAATCACTTTACTCGATCTGAAGAATGCATTCGGTGAACTACATCACAACCTTATTTACAAAGTTCTTCAATATCATCATATACCCGATCTTATAAATGAAATAATCCGGAGTCTTTATACTAACTTCCAAACATCTATCATAACTGAAAAATTCAGTACCCCTTTCATTACCGTCGGCCGTGGCGTTTTACAAGGTGACTGCCTTAGTCCACTCCTTTTCAATATGTCCTTTAATACCTTCGTACAACACATTAAATCTGAATCATTCCTGCAGCTTGGTTTTTGGAAATTTAATAAAACTGGTATTCCGTCCAATTCATTGGTTCCAGTTTGCAGACGACGCGGCTGTCATTAGTAGCCAAGAAAAAGAAAATCAAATCCTACTCAATCGCTTCTCGGTATGGTGTCAATGGGCCAATATGATTATACGTGTTGACAAGTGCTCTACGTTCGGTATTAAAAAACACTCATCTAAATCTGTTCAATATCAACCTAAATTGTTTGTTAACCACCTACTTGTACCCCGTACCGAAACTGGTGAATCTTTCCGCTACCTTGGTCGTTATTTTAATTTCAACATGTCAGATGAAAAACACCAATCGGATATATGTGACTTGTTTAATAATATCATATCTAAAATAGATGAATTACATTTGCACCCCCGAAATAAAATTCTGCTATACAGTCGCTACTTGCTCTCGAAAATCTCATGGGACTTCACAATAACTGATATATCTCAAACATGGGTTTGCGAGACTTTGGACGGTATTGCTATACTAAATATATACGAAAATGGCTCGAACTGCCAATATCTGCAACTCTAAGCAATGTCTATCTCCCTTACAACAAATTTGGTTTAAATGTCATTCTACCTTCAACGAAGTTTATACAATGCCAAACTGTCTCACGCTTAGCTTTAAAGTCATCGATAAATGAAAACATACGTGAATTATGGTCAATAACAAGCACCAATAGGAACATTCAGTACGACATTTACTCAAACACAAAAGATGTATTGAAGGCATTTAGACGAAAAAACGAACAGCGACTACAAAATAACCTAATGTCACAAGGTTCTTTTTTCTCAAACATCGTGAAAAACTCCACGTTGGCATTCAATTCCCTATGGTCATCGGTTCATTCAAAACTTCCTAAGAACATATTTAACTTCAGTCTACGTTACATCAACAATTCTTTGCCTACTAGGAAAAACCTAGTTAAATGGGGTCTGTCATCATCTGCTGACTGTTCGTTCTGCTTCTGCCCTGAATCGCTTTTGCATGTAATCTCTGGATGTAAGACATATCTAAACGAAGGGAGATATACATGGCGACATGATTCAGTTTTGAATCTCATTGCGTCCAGCCTTCTCGACGTCGGAAGGTCCAAAATGTATGTAGA